AATATTAATCACCGTGCAGCATAATCCCAGGATATTTCGGTTGCTTTAGGATGTCAGTCTTTGAATGAACTTCTTTTCGTCCTCCTGCAAAAACTACATTCTGTAGAAAAATTACTAATCAACTGGCATGAATTTTTCTTATTGACTTTTGATGCTCTTAAACATTGAAATACGTTCCATAGAAAACATGCATAGAAATATTGATTGTTTTTCTTACTTTGGAGACTGTTGCTTCTTCCTTAAATAGTATCCTTAAAGGAAGAGTATAATTTGGTTTTAAAAGAGCTTTGAAATGTGCGGCTTTTAAGATCGTGAAATGCCCGTTCCCAAATCAACGTGCCTCTGCATTTACTGATGTTGCTTGTAAAGTTTCCATTACGGCCTATTTCCATCGTTAAACTTTATCAATTCCGTATAATCCCCTCCTAATGAAGAATAGAAATGTGTGATGTTCCGTACACTTAAAATATACAGATTGTAGTTTGGAAACCCTTTTAGCAATTGTAACGGTACGTCTGTTTCAGAATCACTCTTCTAAAACCAAAGTACACTATTTCTTGTAGCCAAATTTTTTAAGAAAACAGTTTCCTTCAAAATGAGCAAAAGAATGAATATTTTAGTGCACATTTTCTATGAAATATATTTAAATTTATAAGGGCGTCGAAAATCAATGAGAAAAACTCATGCTATTTGAGTGGTCATTTTTTACCGAAATGCAGCTTTTTCAGGCTGCGGGAAAGAAGGTTATTCGCAAGCTGGCATCCCGAGGTAACCGAATTATCCTGTGCTCATTCTGCACGGCTATTAATATTACAACCAAACCTGAGTAGTCTAAACGAGTTGAAAGCGCATTTTGGAATTTTGGTTGACATTACATGAGTTGGCACGTCCACTGTATTTCCTTCAGGCATCATGAATCAATCAGAAACACAAACAGAAATGCGCTTTTTTGAAAGCTGCCATATATGGCTCATAAAATCGTGCAATGCATATGCAGGTCACTACATATTTCATAA